CGCTCAATGTTGCATAAACTGGTTGCAATGGCTCATGCGACGATCAGTTACAACGACCCCGTCCTGTCTGTCCTCCTTTGCACCTTTTGGCTCAAACGAGTTTCTTGGCCCGGGCCGGGTACGTATAAGGAAAATGCGTGCGTTCGAGGCAAATTTTCTTTCTCTAATTTGGTTATGCAATTGAGCTGGAACGCCCGGCCCCGGGCTATGTGAGAATATGTTTGGAAATGACCCAGAAAAGAGGCTACCCGCCAAGTCGATTGGTTCGTGTTGTTTCACTCGAATCCGGCCTTCTATGACGAAACTATGAAAACTGCATTTTGTCAGGCAATTAGCCATTTGCCTTTGTTTTGGCCAAGCACTCATTTCAGTTCGGTTCATTGTCTCTATGGGTACTATATGTATATAGTATTGTGGGAGTGGAGTGTTCCCATATATACTGAATCATTTCAAGAATGCAGAGAATCCCATTTGGTTATTGAGTTTCAGGGATTTTCAAAAGATCGCGAAGGTCTGTAATGGCCAGGAATGCAATTAATAATGAGTGGTGGAATTCGTTAAATTTCAATAATACAAAAATGGAATCCAATTCTCAGTTCTCTTTCCTTGAATAATCGTAATTCTTGTGTGGGTTTTTCATAGTTTTTCAAAACTAAAAAAAATAATCACAATATTCCGCTTAAAGCTCTGCTTTCCCTGTTATAAATGTCGACATTTTCTGCTTCTCTACTTCTCCTAATATTTATCAGTTGCACAGATCTTATAAGGCTGCCGCTGCCTCATTAACGTCGCGGCGTTTATACCCCCCATGCCATTGCAATCATCTCCGCGACAAATTGCAATTAAAAACTTTCCTACAAGTACGGGAGTATGTAAACCTTTATGTATTTTTCATTCTTGTAGATCGAGTCAGTGGGCATTATCAGTCGGTCGTCTGTTTGCATGTTAGTACAGATTGATTGGTGGGGCGTTTGGTTTTGCTTTTGCTCCACTATCTGGCCTCTGATGTGGCCCCGCATTGTTATTGTCTCAAAGTGCAAACAGTTCTGGGTTGAAGCGAATGAAAAAAGAAAACACAAGAAATTGAGAGTGCAGAAAAGTTAAGAATTCAAAAAAGAATGCAGAAAATTAGGTATTCAGAGGACGGTTCAGAAAAAGGTGAGGTGAGGAGACTCCAGGCCAATTGAATACAAATTTGCAATAGAAGATATGTAGGAAGCGATCTAATGGAATAGAATTTCATTTAGACTTTGTAAAGAAGTCATTTCATTCCGTGTCCAAGCAAGATATAATTCCTAAAACAACATTTTATATCCTAGTATTATTATCCAGACAGTAATCCACATATAATGTATTCGTTCTCTTAGTATCTAAATGACTTTGTTGTGAAATAAAAACATCAGCTAATTTATACGCCTGACACATCGCCAGAGAGAGAGAAAAGATATACGACCTTTGTATGCACTTTATTGTTCCAGAAATGCCCTCAGATTATTATCATTTCACATGTCGCAGAGAGCGCAGCACAGCTCTCTCATCCCTCAGATAATTTCATTAGCTAAACAGTTGCGGCTTTAACGAGTGACACTTTGTGCAAATTGTTGGGCAAAGCTGATTCTATAATGAGTGTTGGCTTGATTGCATGTGGAATAAACGATAAGGGGCTCAAGGAGTGGCTGCTGCACCCATGGGGAAATTGAATTAAGATGCTCTGATGACAGGGATAAAGATATCGGATAGAAAATACGCATCAAATGACTGAGAAACCTAGAATTCGAAATATAGGCAGTAACCTCTGAGGGGAAGAGGGAGAAACCACTAAAAGAAACAATCGAATGGTCAGTGGGAAAGGCCAACTGGGTCATGAGCAGATTGCAAGTCACTTTAAAGACATAAATCCCAAATAAGCATTGCAATCTTTCGTTTTCTCTATATGGTACCCATACCTATACAATGCTAATATTGTATACGAATGGTAAATATTTTTGGCCCCTCAATGTGACCCCCCATGGCAGGCCTTAGTGTTTACCCTCTTCGAAAGTGGAACCGATAAGTGCCTGCAATCTTTATGTTTATGTTTTTGTGCCGGGTGGCACATACATGTGCACCTAATAAATAACATACAAAAGTCCGCTCCCCAAAATAAGAAATAGGAAAATTAGAGCGATAAGCTGAGATAAGATTTGGGGGACACTTTGATCACCGGCATTCGGTTATGCAACCAACAGAGAGAGAGAGAGAGAGAGAATTGCGACTGACAAAATGTGGAATTTATTTGTTTCAGGTCTCGCCAGGATCGATCACCACTGGACATGGCTCTCCGATTGGCATCAAGGATGCCACACAGACTGTGGGCCCCCGCGGTCCCGTGCTGCTGCAGGACGTGAACTTTCTCGATGAGATGTCGCACTTTGATCGCGAACGCATCCCCGAGCGCGTGGTCCACGCTAAGGGAGCTGGAGCCTTTGGTTACTTCGAGGTGACGCACGACATCTCCAAGTACTGTGCCGCCAAGATCTTCGACAAGGTGAAGAAGCGCACACCCCTGGCCATTCGCTTCTCCACGGTGGGTGGCGAGAGCGGGTCGGCCGATACGGCCCGTGATCCGCGAGGATTCGCCGTCAAGTTCTACACGGAGGATGGCGTCTGGGATTTGGTGGGCAATAACACCCCGATTTTCTTCATCCGCGACCCGATCCTGTTCCCCAGCTTCATCCACACCCAGAAGCGCAATCCGCAGACGCACCTGAAGGATCCCGACATGTTCTGGGACTTCCTTACCCTGCGCCCGGAGTCGACGCACCAGGTGTGCTTCTTGTTTGGCGATCGTGGCACTCCCGACGGCTACTGCCACATGAACGGCTACGGATCGCACACGTTCAAGCTGGTGAACGCCAAGGGGGAGCCGATCTACGCCAAGTTCCACATGAAGACGGACCAGGGCATCAAGAATCTGGACGTGAAGGCAGCCGATGAGTTGGCCTCCAGCGATCCGGACTACAGCATTCGGGACCTCTACAACCGCATCAAGACGTGCAAGTTCCCTAGCTGGACCATGTACATTCAGGTGATGACCTTCGAGGAGGCCAAGAAGTTCAAGTATAATCCGTTCGACGTGACCAAAGTCTGGTCCCACAAGGAGTTCCCTCTTATCCCCGTTGGCAAGCTGGTGCTCGACCGCAATCCCAAGAACTACTTCGCCGAGGTGGAGCAGATTGCCTTCAGCCCCGCCCACCTGGTGCCCGGCATTGAGCCATCGCCCGACAAGATGCTGCAGGGTCGTCTCTTCTCCTACTCGGACACGCACCGGCATCGCCTGGGGCCGAACTACTTGCAGATCCCCGTGAACTGCCCCTACCGCGTGAAGGTGAACAACTTCCAGCGCGACGGGCTGATGAACGTGACGGACAACCAGGACGGTGCCCCCAACTATTTCCCCAACTCGTTCAACGGACCGCAGGAATGTCCCCGGGCCCGTGCCCTGTCCACCTGCTGCCCCGTCACTGGGGACGTTTACCGCTACAGCAGCGGCGACACCGAGGACAACTTTGGCCAGGCCACCGACTTCTGGGTGCACACGCTGGACAACTGCGCCAAGAAGCGCTTGGTGGCAAACATTGCCGGCCATCTGAACAACGCCAGCCAGTTCCTGCAGGAGCGGGCCGTCAAGAACTTTACCCAGGTGCACGCCGACTTTGGTCGCATGCTGACGGAGGCCCTCAACCTGGCCAAGTCCTCAAAGTTCTAGGCACCACTCGCAGTGCGACTTGGTTCTTGGCCTTATTTACGATCTACAAAATATTGCTGTTGGCATCCCATCCCCCCTCCCCCTACTCCATTCTACCACTCCCAATTTGACTAACAAGAGCTGAAGGCTTCTTGGCTTCTTGGTTGCGGGCATTAATCTGTTATCTGATCTGTCTTGTTTTGATATTCAAATTTGTCGTAAGCTTTACACGAACACACACATTTATCTAATGCAATGGATATACATATGTATAATAAATTCTTTACACTTTGATACAAAACGAGAGACGGACTTTTGATTATTTCGGTATTGATATGAGTATATTTACGATTATGTTGATATAAGATGTTGAGACAGCGTTAAAGCTTTCATTCCATACGATCTTAACTACATCATGGGACCCATCACCGCGTGGTGACTCATGGGGGCGATGCCTCCAGGTGGAACGGAACTGACTATCACTATCTTTCGTAGTTTTCTTCCGGTCCATCTACTCGTCCTTTAAGCGGTTCTTCTCACTGAGCGTCTATTTGATGGATGTTAGCAGGCAGGCAGTGTTCAAGCAATGCTGTGAAGATCGCCGCCATCTACGAGGACACCTCCAACATGCAGTAGACCACCAAGTGAGTCAAGAAGGAGTATTCGGGCTAAGTTAAAGTGCGACGAAGCAGCCACTGTAATCCTAAGTCGTCCCCACACATATGTCAAATGCATTTATGTGAAGGAACTGCGGGAACTCAGCGGTTATCGGTGCCTTCCATATTACCATAGCATTTCGCGCAGAGACGAACTATATCCATGAGACATTAGTTGGGGGAGAGATTATATTTTTATATAATTCGATAGCTTCAATCCTACTTTCAATTACCTTCAGACAAATTTTTATTTGTGGAAGAATAAAGTGCACAGGATTATATACAAATGTAAAGATGATGATAAACGTCTAGAAATTTACTTTGAATAATATTTATTCATATTCGAAACTTATAAATTCATCCACATACGATGATGTTCCATGTGAACACATGTGTCTGGGAGCGAAGCGAATGTCTGACTTGGTCAGGAGATTCGGGCAATGATGATAGAAATATGGAAATATACTTTTAATACTTATGTTAAAGTAAACTTAAAAATTAATCTGCAAACGGTGTCTGTCTTGGTCAGGAGTGTATAAAAAACAAAGATTATCTGAAAAGAAAAATATTGTGCAGTGGGTAGATTTCTCATGACATCCCCAAAGCTTGCCGCACGTCTAGTTTCCTTCCACAGCTGGTTCCTCGCTGCGGTTGGGGTAAATCTCGAAACCGCTTTTGAAATCGTAAATGTCGACAATGGTAGGCATTTCTCCGTCTCCGTCCTGTGGCAGGAATACAATTTTCAACTCATTGTCATTAGGGTTCTGGTTTAAGAGATTTGACGGCTTCCCATGCCCAATGACCTGAACCGACAGTTTGCGGAAATTGGTGCCTTCCGTGTCGTTCAGGAAGCTTATGATGTTCGCTTTGGTTAGGGTGCGCAAAACATCCGCCTTCTTCTGGGCACGACCGAAGATATAGTTCCCGCCGATGATCTCGCCAAGATTTCTACGCACCTCATGCAACAGAGTATGTGGAAGGGCAAGCATTCCATGGATAAGCTGGTCTTTCATGGATGCATAGGTCTCGTCATCTATTAGCTTGAAAAACATCCAACATCCAACCCTGGCGGCGAAATTCATCGAGGTCTTTATCCATTTTTTTGACACTGTCTCTTGCAATAGTCTCGTCCAAGTCTACAAAGAGGGAGTAGCCAACAATTCCGGTATTAACGTTAACCCAACCCTCCACTTCTCCACCCACGAGTTCCTCCGTACAGAATTCCGGGCTATCGAAGATCGTACACATGAGGTCGAGTATGACCTCCACCCGTAAAGAGTTCGCTCCGAATTGGTAAAAGTTCGTTATATTTGTGGTTGTAGTGTGCACGCCTGGGGCGTAGCAGCGGATCACGTGGCTGCCCTGTGGAAGCTTCACGATCCGATTCTCCACGAGCCGACGATCCCCAATGGGCTGGCACTTAAGACGGCTGAGCACTGCATTGAGCAACTTGTGAGCTGCCTCCTCCGTGTAGTTGCCCTGTATGAGGGCCTTGATGTACAGCTCCTGCGGTTACTTCTGGGCAAATTCCTTCGGATCCTCCAGAGTGAGGTCGTTGAGGGACTTGTACTAGTCAATCGCCAGCCATTGCTTTTGTCCCAGCACCCAAAGACGGATGTCACTACAGAATACAAAATTAAAATTTGAGATGCAGATTTTCATCGGAGCATAGGGAGATCCCATGGACTGGTCACACTTGCTAAGTAGTACTCGCGCTGGTTCTCGCGGTAGGCAGTAAGAATATCTGCATTGAGGGTGGCACCCACATCGACCATACCTTGGGCAACGGCCTCCACAATCAGATGGAGCTTTTCATTGTAGCCGCTCAGAAATAGCTTCAAACCATTGTCGCTAACCCTGAATCGGCAGTTGAGATTGGCCTTTTCGGCGAGTTCCAGCTTCCTTTGCACGTGCAGCTTCACCAATGAAACGTACAAGTCAAGTCGCACATAGCAGCACTGCGAAAAAAAAGAAGCTTCAAGGGTTATGGGACTAGAAGGCTAGTGTGAGAGAGAATTCGCTTACTTCTTTGCGCTCTGTCGCAGCAGCGGCGTGATAAAAAAGAAGCATAGGCAGGCGTGGGGCAGGTTGAATTTGTCATCCTGTCGGAACCACAGCTCGCAGGTGTCCGTCTTGACCAACCTCTTGGGGTAAGGCGGCTGCTTGGGTTTGCCCTGCTCATTCCAGAACATTTTGAAGTCGTGGGCCACAAAGGGATTGGCTTCGGGCAGAAAGAGCTCGTCCATGCGCTTCGATTTCGATTCGATCCACAGCTGCTTCCACCTTGGAGGCATGGGTATAGTGGTGTATTTGGTGCCGAACCACTCCTCCTGCTTGTCAAAGGGAAAGCCCTTGTACGGATTTTGCGATGTAATCATTAGATAGAATTTAAAACTGTTGAGGTGGCCGATCACTTCGGACAGATGCTGCATGTCTGTGTCATAGGTGAGCTCCCGGCAGTGAGTATATCCTTGGGAGGATAGTATTTTTTTTAAATTTTTTTTTTTTTTTTTTTTAAAAGAGAATAAAAAAAGAAAACCCCGTACAGCTGTGTAACGTTTCATGAACACAAATATACAAATTATGCCTAGGTTTTGGTCGGCGAGGGAAGCACACGCTTAGGTTTCCGGCTTCTGCTCGTCAGCTGGGGTGATGATCCCCCTCATGCTGGTGGTCATATCATCTACCAAAAATGAAGTAGCGTGCTACGACAAAAACTTAACCGGGAGATACTACCTATCCCTGAATAAGAAAAAGCTAGGGTCTGTGCTGCGAAGAGTTTCGACTCCGTCTCTGGTGTTAATGAGACCGTCTCGCCCGCCTACCTTGGCCATTCAAGCCGCCTTCATTGAAAATGGAATGGCCCCTTCTGCCTCAGGAACACCTACATGGGAGGGTGCTAGCTAAGGAAAATAAAAAAGGAATTAAAACATTATAAAATATATTCTAAATTCTATAAAAATGAACTTACTAGCATACTTAAACTACGATATGCACGAGAAATAAATAATAAAATGAACGCATATAAATAAATAAGAACAAAATGAATAAATATGAATAAATACGAATAAATGATCAAACCGCTGATCATTGTTAGAACAATTTTCCCGATCTGCGACCATTGGCTTGCAAAAAGTGTTACACGTAAACTTTGATGGCAGAGGATGGGCTAGCGCGTAATTAATTATGTCCGCGAATAAATATATTTCTGCTGGTTTTGGTCTGTTGTTAAAAAAACGCAGCCTTATGTGGCCATAACAGCACTCACCCTTGTCAGGAATCCATCGACGAAAGCGCTCTCACCAACGTATTGCTTAACAAGAGGGGAGAAAAAAAAATATCGAGATGGAAGGAAAAACTTCTAAGCCCACACTCCTGACCTCTCGCTATCATCGCTTACTGCCAAAACACAATAATTGCTGGGACACCAACCAAAACGTTAAAGCTTAAAACTATTTTTTTTCTTTTGAACTAAACATTACAAAAATCACACAAAACAAAATTAATCACAAAAAAAAAATGAAATTCTCTTGGGCATCTGGTATGCTTACTTTCTTCCTTTGCGGATTCCGTCTCCCAATAGCGCAGGGTCGCCGACGCAGCTGTCTCTCTTGCAAGGTTCACGGGCACTAACCAGCCATCCGCTGAGCACTCACTCTGCCTGCTAGAACTTCGGCTAATCTTCCCTCTTCCCTTTCCCCTACGTGCTACTTGCAAGCGCTGCTGGTATTCGGCGTAGAGGGACAAAGGAGACGAAAATGGGCTCGTCCAGCTCTCGCGTGTCAACTGCCGCTATATGGGTGATGGAGCAGGACTCCTCTGCTGATCTTCTCCTGGACACGGGAGCAATCTCCAATCCAGAGTCCGACTGAGGGCACCTCTTTGCGGCGTCGCCTGTGCCCGGCCGACAGCTAACAAGCACCAAGATCAATTGAGCGCCTGTTCACAAATAAATCTTTTCCTTCTGGACTTTTTCACCGTCACCTGTGCACTTTACTTGTGCGTATACGCGTATTATGGAATTAAGGAGTTTCCCCGCCCTCCGCACAACTGCCCACCTGACTGGGGGACCAAAAGCAAAAGACCGAGCTAGGACGCTTCCGTTGCAGCGCAACTCATGGTCTCGAAAAGGTAATCAGGCCACTGAGTGAAAGGCCTGACATTTGCCCCTGTTCTGCTTTATCCAAAAATTCCTTGACCCG